CCCGCCAGCCAATCTCCGCGGCCGCTGCCCGGTTTGCTCCGCCTCCTGATGAGGGAGGAGAGCCGAGAACGGCGACCAACGGTCGGCGGGGTCCGCAGGCGGGCCTGGGGGTGGCACGCCCACTTCCGCAGAAAGCGGAAGTGGCCTGGTGCTGGCCGGGGACGGACGCTGCGGCGTTCCACCGTCACGTGACGGGGCCGGGCCTCGGGGCCGCCCGCCCTTCAAGGAGGGGCCCCAGGAAGCCAATCGCAGCCCCGTCCTCCAGATCACGGGCAGAGGGGCCTGCTGCTGAGGCGTGGGGGGCGGGGGGCGCCGGGAGACCCCGCAGATCCCCTGCGTCAGGTTGGGGCGGGGGGAGTCGTCTTTAAACCCCGGGACGAACCGTTGACCGCTCCTACACTGTGTCGGGGACCTCACGGAGGGGGCGGGTCTGAGGAGAGAACCCCTCCAGGGGCGGCGAGAGCGCCCCTGTCTTCGTGGACGGGACTGAAATGTGCCCCGGCTGGGGAGATGACCGCTAATGGTCTGAGGCCAGGCCAGCTGGCTCTGGGCAGGGGGCCGTGGTCAGGCGGGCACAGGGCAAAAGCTGACCGGGCGGAAAGTGATGCACTGGCAGTGGGCACGAGACCCCTGTAAATGGGTTCGAGAGTGATGAAAGGGGGGGCTCAGGACGCCTCACTTCTCTTGAACTCCCAAACTAGCCACATCAGGAGGCCAGGGAGAGGGGCACTTGGCATAGTGATGGTCGCTCTGTCCCCTGTCCCCTGCCTTTCCCACTCTCCAGGGCAGGTCCCCCGCAGCCGAGGGGTCTCCTTCCCTTAATCCATCCCCTTAGGAGCCAGGACCTGCCCAACATTCCCTCCCTAGGGCCCAAGCACATTGCGTGACCCCCCAAAAATGGAGAGAGGGGCCAATGAGAAGCAAGAGAGGTGCCAGGAGGCGGCAGAGAAAAATGGCTTAGTCGCTGCCCCTCCCCAGTAGCCCCCTCCCACTGTGCTCCTGGTCACTGGGTGGGTGGGTGGGTGTGACTGGGAGTTTCCCCAACTACAAGGTCAGGGCTCTGTTTCACTGGGGAGTCTGTCTGGGATGGTTCTCCGTCGGGTTTTTCAGGAGATGGGGTGGGGTGGGGGGTCTTTCCGGGAACGGAGTTTATTTTTATTCAGGGGTTTCCATTTTTCTTGATGAGTTTGGGATGGAGTTCTCCATCACTGAACTAAAGAAGTCCCTCCCCTCCCTGAGCCCGGAATGTCTGTCTCCGAGTTGTCCGTTTCTGAGCCTGCAGTTTCTGGTCGGGCCTGGGGTCTTTGCACGCTCCCTGGGCCTCGGTTCTCTGGGGTTCCTCTGAACCCGAGGTTCTTTCTGAATCTGGTCATTTTCTTTGAATCCCGGCCTCAGATCCTGGCCCCCAAATCACCACCCCAGGGTCTGGCGTGTGAGATTTCTGTGGCTTTGGGGAAACCGTCTGGAGATTGGGTTCTTCGGTTTTGCTCCCGGGCTCCTGGGGGCTTTTCTAAAACCCGGGGTCTCTTTTCTTCAGTATTCTGTGCCTGTGCCTCAGATTAACCCTCTCCCCCGCCCCCCACACGAAGGGGTGTTGAAGGGCTAGATCCCGCCCCTCCTCGCAATGCGAGGTATGTTCCTCTGTGGGTCTGGGGTCTCTCATATTCAGGGTTTGTGGCATGCATCATCACAGTGGCTCGCCCTCTCTGGAATGATTGCCAGATGGGGGGGTCCTTCTCTTCAGGGCTCCTTGAGTAGGGGTGGGGGCTGCAGAGTCTCTCCCTCCTCCTCCTCCAGCTCTCGCTCGCTCGCTCCCCCGCCCCCTTTCTCTCTCTCTCTCTT